TAACCTAACCGAAACCCAAAAACCCCCAAAAAAAACCCAAAAACGAAAACGTAAAGAAAGTAAAGAACGACACAACACTACGACACAACTACTCTCTCTCTCTCTCTCTCTCTCTCTCTCTCTCTCTCTCTCTCTCTTCAGATGCCTCTTTCTCAAACAGGCATACATCTTTATCCAACAGACATCCTTGTAGGGGGTGGTACACGGCGGGCAAAGGCACCTGCCAGGTGCTCCCTTAGGCACCCTCTTGAGGTGTTAGGAAAATAGGGATACCTTCTCAGTACATCTTTCTGTTGTGAGCTTACCAAGCCAAATAGGGTTCCCTCTTTGAGCAGATTCATCCAAAGTGCACCGGCCATAGTTCAAGCTTTTGGCTGGTAAGCATGGATAAAGTCCTCGTGACTTGTTGCAACAACAGCTGTCAACTCACAACAAAATCCTTCCTAACCTTTAATCCTGACACATTTTTTGTACATGTATGTGTTTGCAAGATCTCCTCTCAAGTCTTGACATGATAGGATTTTAGAAGGATATGGATATAAGCATATAATTTATGAAAACTTCTCTAATTGTTGTATATGCATCTCTGTATTACATAAAATGATTACACATATATTTTGCAACACTCCACGGCATTGATGTTGAATTATATAGTCACATGCTATCATGATTTATGCATAGGAATATAAAAAAAACATAATGAGATACAAAATAAAGATTATTCTCAAGGTCAGTCACATTTATATACTCCAGTACATATTAGTAAACCGCTAAATTTCCAAAAAAGAATATTTAAATCATGAATATCAAAACTTGTTTTGAATAGTTGGTAACATTTAGTGGAGCTTTCCCCAACATAAAGCAGTTTAGCTACAAAAGCTCTTCTTCCGGACACCAGTGAATAAAAAATGGTTTTCAACTCAGGGAAACTCGGTGAGTCAACTCAACTTGGATACGTGCTCAGTTTCATTAATGGAAACTCAGGTGCGCCGAAGTTTATGCGTATCGATTTTTTTTTGCATGATCCAGTCATCTCATTGTCAAATTCAAAGTGGTAACCATGTGGTTCTAACTTGGTGATGCCTATCATGGACAACTTTGTTTTATTATATCTCTTTACAATAAAATGAATATGAAATTTTTAGCGAATCACCTGTTTGAGTTTTTGAACACTAATAGACATAAACCCATCGCTCTTAACTTTAGCAAGTGTGAAGCCACAAATATTGTTACTCGCCAAAAAAAAGATTCTAAAAGAAAACTTGCGTAAGGAACTTAAACATGGTAAAACACATCCAGAACACACCAACCAACTTGCTATCCAGCCAAAACAGAGTAGCGACTAAAACGAATCGAAAGCACCAACACAAGGCTTGACTACTTCGGAAAGAAAATTGAGAAGGTGTACCTATTTCATGATTTTGGAGATAACATGATACGAATGCCAAGGATGGGAAATAAATGAATAGATATCTTTACATGTTTCAGTGAAAAGCGAAAAATAAAAAATAAAATGACCTTGTGTTTGTACATCTTCCAGAAAAATGGTATCATTATTAAGTTATTACCAACACATCTTTCAATAAATTTAATGGTGGAATGATTTTGTCAAAGCTGCATGATTCTGATTCGTACAAATGAAAACACCTATAGAAGGATATCACGTGGTATTTAAATTTTAATCGAGTGATGCTTATAAATCATGGCTATGAAAGCAAATTGAAAAAGCTTTTCAGTATATGGGGTGGTTACAAATCAACAGCCAATATAACATGAACAAATAAGAAATGCCAAGCAATCAGTTCTTTCTCTTTGGAATTATTCCAATAAATCCTACATGAATCAGAAATAGGAAATTCAGAATTCTAACTTTTGCAACGAATTAATCTAATATTCCTTACTCTTACAATAGAACAATATCAGAAGCCTAACTCTTAAAAAAAAACTCTCTCTCTCTCTCTCTCCAATAACAGGACATCAAATTCCATAACACGAATCTCAAAAACAGAGTGTAACTAAGAATTCAAACCTCAGCTTGCATGCCTGCATGGCGCCTAACTCCTGTTGCATCATACATGACAATAAGACTGAATCCCAAGCACACCGGAAACAGAGCATCGCTAATTCCATGACAGAGAGCCACTGAAGTTGTCAAAGCAGTGCAAAGTGCAGAGTGAGAAGAAGGCATGCCCCCCGAACTAACCAGCATCTGAAAATCCCACTTTCTCTCAACAAAGAAATTCAATAAAACCTTCGTAGATTGGGCGATAACCCAAGCAAACAAGCCTGACATGAATGTTGGGTTAGCTGATAAAGTAGCCATAACAGGGCTAATGTGCCCTTTAGCCATGGCAGTTGTGCTCAAAAGAGCCATTCCTATTCCACCACTGTTTAATAAATCGTCATCTAAACAAGCACCAGTGCGCCCGCCATTTTTGACACCAGAAACCCATTTCACCATTGTGGTCCTCAAGGTTTTGCCGCCATGAAAACCCTTTACAGTGAAATAATCCGTGATACGATGAAGAACTGGAATTAGCACACAAAATGGAGAGAGAGAAGGAAAATCCATGCAGGTACATTGTCTTTCAATAGCTTCCTTATGTGGGTTAGAGAGAGAAGACAAGAAAACCAAGTTTTTCCACTTCGAAGAGAGAGAGTGATGAAATTTGAAGTGAGTTGGTGATTTGTAGGGAGAGAAAGTGGAACTTGGTCTCGGTTTTTTGAGTTGGGTGGCGCGATAAATGGGTTTAACGGCTATCGACTCCATGGAACAAGCTCAATTCATGCTGCATTTAGAGAGAAAAAGTCACTTCATACTGCATTTACAGAGAGAAAGTCGATTCGGCTTTTCTCCATTTTCAGTGACTTGCAGAAACAAATACATGATTCCATCCCGCTACAGTCTAGATAACTTAGGGGAGAGATCGAACCACACATATATAAGCTCAACGAAGTTTTGAACCCTTGTTATATTTGATATTGCAAGAATACCCAAGAAAAGCATAATTAAAGTATCATATCTTTTATTGATATTATCCGCATTGTGCCCATAATGCGGCTTATTGGTGGGGTCCTTTTCCTGTGCGTAGTAAAGCTTATTGAAAGGGAAATGTTTTGATAGGATTCAACCTTATTAAAATAAGTAGAACCTCATTTCAAAACCTCATTTCAAAACATGTCAGAGATTACAATTTTGACATAAAAAAACTTTCAATCTCATCTCACTTTTCATCATTATGGTTCGGAAAAAAAATTAAGATTTTAAACCTTATAAATAATGTGTATTACAACACATCATCTAAACCGTCAATTTCATCTTAAAATAAGTGCTACATACCAATATTATTTTTCGAACTTCAAATTTTATAGTTGGTGTTGTTGATTTTAGAGCCATCACAAACATTTACCATTCTCAAAGTACTTTCTAGATGTAGATTCAATGCCAGACTTTATATCGTTTTCATAAAACCTAGGCTTTACAGCAAGGGCATCCTTTTTCCAAGGTCCTTTAAAATTCTGAATACTAATCATTTTATCAAAAGATATCATGCTCCCGTGAGGGCATTTACTCCGTTGTGTAAGACGCCAATCTAGGATTAACTTTAAGATCTTAGATTTTGAAGAAATAACCTAATCAACCCATTGACTAACCTCAATAGGAAAAATTTATAAATTGCACTCTTTATAGGCTTAAAAAAAAATAGAATATAGGACGTCCTAAATTTTGGAGGGTGAGACTCAAGTGTTGGAAAATTCAAAATTCATATTTCTTCGTTTACAAATAAGTCATCATTTTGGGCAAAACTAAAATAAATAACATTGTGAAGACATAACAATAGTCTTGTGGTGGATTTTGGGATAATGCCGATCTAACTATGATTTTTTTTTGGTTTCCCATCCCTTGTTACTATTATGTTTGGATGCTCTAAATAGTGATTAAAAATAATGGACTCGAGCTCTTTTCGGCTGTTTGGATGTTCTAAATAGTTATTAGAAAATCTTCGACTCGAGCTCGGACTCGTCCCTGTCACTTAGATTCAGTAGGGTGCCAGATGTCAATGACAACCCTAAAAATCAGGTTAGTCTAGCCCAAGTCCAAAAAGTTCATGTATTTTTGGGCTGGGCAGCCTAGTTGAGCCCAGTCCGGCTCTGGCTTAGACTCGGGACCCGAGCAAGTTCAAGCATGGGTCGGGGTTCTAAACATTTACCTATAAATTAAAAATGCCAAAAAAACTTCAAGTTAATGCAATGAATATTCCAAGGTAGTGCCAGTCTGCCTAGATATGTCGCTTGCTTCTTTTGTCTCCAAATTTCGAACAAATTTATGGCAATTATTGTTGTCCTTCTAATATGTTCAGGTAAGATTCGTACTTATCTACTTTCTAAAACGGTGGGCTTGTTCTTTTTTAGGGTAAGAGAATTCTATTTTCCAATTTTTCAAACGTATGAAAGGCACCATGACAAGGAAAGTACAAACATAGAACATCTATTTTTTTTATAAGATGGTTTACTCTTTTCAGATTCAAATTGCGTGTTTGTAATAGCGTTATTCACTACATTCTAAGTTCAGGAAAAAAAAAAAAAATTCAAATCGAACTTCATGACATATACCCCAAGCCATCCAATTTAATATCTAATGGCTATGGTTATGGCTAAGGAGTAATTGTGACCTCATTGTAATAAAAATTATTTTTTGTCCATGAAAATCACAACCATTATCACTCATAATATGTCGAACTAGATGGCTTGGGGTAAGTCACAAATGTCTTAGAGAATTTATCTTTTGGAACTTTGTGTGTATTCAATAACACTCTTACAATCACCTGTTTTGAAATTTAAGAGACAAAAATGATTGTAAGTCCATGTATGAAAGATAAATAGTCTTTTTGTAGACAATCCCTAAATATAAAAGGTGAAATTATCAAATGATAACCTTAAACAACCATGGTTATGTACACTTCAAAATCTTATTAAAAGAAGTATTTTCAGTGCCGAAACTCTCGTCATGACCTAAGAGTCTATTTTTCTCCTCTATTATGAAATTGAAAGTATCGAAAATGGTGTAGATGTAGCAGATCTATGAACACTTGAAAAAATCTTCAAAATGGAAATTTCAGATAATGTGTTACAAGATATATTATTTCTAATATTTAAAATTCATTTTTTCTTTCATATACACACATATTGAGGTCAAGATGATCAATTGAAGAATTTTCTTGTGACAACAATATTCTTTGATGGGTTTTTGAGGTGCACCTACTTCTACAGCATAAGGTTGACACCTTAGATATATTTTTTCCAAATATAAATAATCTCATAATAAAAAAGTTTATATAAGGATGCCACCTTACAATGTAGAAGTACAGATGCACATCAAAAATCCATCGAAAAAGGTAGTTTTAATCTTGAAAAACCTTTTGATTAATCATCTCGACATCGAGATGTATGACCATGAAAAATAAAAATATTTTAAGTCTCATAAATAGTGTATTTTACAATATCTTATCTACACCATCCATTTTCAAGATTTTCGTATGTTTATTGATCTACTTGATTTTAACCATTTCTAAAATTTAATTAGATATAAAAATAAATTTTAAGATAATCCTAAGACATTTTACATCAAAACTATATACCATGATAAAATTTGACGGTGCACCTTACCTCTACGGTTACGGATGCATCCGTATGCCAACTCCACCCTCTCAATTTATTGTTATTACTACCGAATTTGTTGCTTCGGTGAACCCAAAACATCTAAAAGGGAGGAAATGCAAAGCTTATGACCTTTCATCACAAAGAAATGCAAACAGAAATAAATCCTTATTTTTTAACCAAAATATGGAACCATTTCAGTGGGTCACACCATCGTGACCCTCCAACTGTATGATCATCTTTGATATGGACCGTCCAAATAATTCCACGTGTTGACAAAGTCTGCGTATGATAGTCCATTGATTAGGTTACCTAAACTCGGTCCATTGCTCCTTTCAAGCAACGGTTGAGATGACGCGAATAAAAATGGCATCCCTGTAATCATGGATAAAATAGAGTGTAAAATGAGAAGCCCACATGAGTGGGGCCCCTCTTGGGGATCACAGGCCTCTGCAAGGTGGACCAAACCACTCACTTCATGCAAGGAGTATTACTTGATTGGGCAATGATTTAATGCAACAGTTGTATCATAACATAATGCAACGACACTTTTAGAAAACCGTTTGTGGTATTTGTATGACCCAAAATTTTTCACACATAGTCTTTTCATCTCAATAATCGATCTCAAAACAAAAAAAAATTTAATTTGAACTCTAGATCTGGTCAAAATGAATTCTTTCCAACAATGAATCTAGATCATTCATTTGGTGAATTTCAAGATCTTAGCATTTACAAATTCAAAATCATTGTTTTCTTTTTTAACATTGTTCATCTAATGATAATAAAACCATCTAAAAAAATTGGAAAAAAAAAATCCTTTTAAGTCTTAGATCTAAGCATCTTATCAAAATCGATGGCCTATATTAATTGGGTTAAAAAAATACTTTCTAGGTTCCATTTTTTAATTTTTATTTTTTTCTTATTATTCATTAGAATGAAAACAGTGTATATTTTAGAATTTGAATCAAACAAATGGCCGTAACATTATTTTTTAAAGTTCTTGCATCATCACAACCCTACTTGATGATACCATGATAGGCCTATTGCTTTTCTTCTCCCTTATTTCATTTTAAATAGGGGTGCGGTTTGTATAAGGTGCCCGCATTATATATACAAGTAAGGCGCATCTCTAAATTTTGCCGAAAGTTGTAGTTTCAACATACAAGTATGCAATCATGTATTGTATTTCGGTCAAGATGTAAAACGAGATGGTTGGGAGTGTGCTATAATTGTTTGGGAAATTATAAAAAAAAAATGTCATAATTTTTGGATTATTGAAAATAAACCCCAAACTTTCCAAAACCTCATGCATAGCATTTTATGGGTAAGTAGACAAAAATTGTTTTCACGGTATTCTTAGAACCATGAAGGCATCACAGTTTATTGAAAACCGTGATGGTTAAGTCAAATGTAGTTATGAAGCATCACGACACTTAAATAAACCATAATGATTTATTGGATTATCATGTTTCTAATTTAATTGATGTTTCTTCGTCACGGGCATAAGAATCCTTAATGACCATCACAACTTTTTAAGTGTCATAATGTCTCTTGACAACCATCACCGTTGGTTAAGTGTTGTGATGCCTCAAAAAATTAAAACCGCTCATGACCTTATTGTTGTGGATTGATGTCTTGTATCCATATAAGGGGTATTTCGGTAATTTGTACTATCTATATGGGACTTGATATATTGTTGCGATTGGGGGTTCATCCAGGGTCAAGAGAAAAACATAGATCTATTTGTAATTAGAGATAACAGATAGGTATTATGAAGAGAGTGGTTGTAACCCTATTCTCCATTGCCAATAAAGAATCTCTTATCTCCCGTGAACGTAGGCACGTTGCCGAACCACGTATATCTTTGCGTTGTGGTTGATTGTCTATTTCTTTTGTGTTTTTTTCTTTTTTTTTGTTTTCATGGAATGCTTTTCGTTTCTACACTCATAGTCTACCGTGATGTCTTCAAGGTCCTATGAATACCATAAAGACTATTTTGATCAAAAAACGTAAAAAAAAAAGAAAATGGGAATATATAAAGTTTTGAAAAATTTGGAGTTTATTTTCAATAATCCAAAAATTAAGGTGTACTTTTTATATTTTCGTTAAACTCTTTTTTAACATGGAAGGAAATTTCACTTTTTGAGCCATCTAATTTCATATCTAGTCGCTTGGGGACTTGTAATATACATTTCTTTTTTTTGAAAAACATTAATAAAAATGCTCAAATGTTAAAGCAACTAATCTTTAAGAAAGTAGAT